CCGGGCCTCTGCCAAGCCCTGCTGTGGGCCGCCTGGGGGCCCCCGACCCTAGCGTCCTAAGGTGTCCGGGCCCCGCGCTCCCCGGAGTTCTCCCCAGCGCGCCTTTGGGTTCCCCTCGGAAGGAGCTGGGCCTTGCGGTTCCCCAAGTCCAAGCTTTCCACGACTTTGGCCAACATGGAAGCCTTCTCCTCCACCCAGGCACCTCGCCTGAGTCCTCCTCACCTCCGTTTCCTTTCGCTCCGGCGATCTTAGTGCTGGGTCATTGGGGTCTCCTTCCCAGTTGCACAACCGCGGGAAACACCTTCCATAGTAGAGGCTGCTTTCCCTCCCCGTCCCAGGCCAGGCCCTTCCCAGCTCATGCCCCTCGGTGCAGCAGCTCCCTGGCCACAGCTCTCACACCTTGCCTTAAAAAAAAAATTTTTCCAAGTAACTTTTTAAGAGCCCCTTGTTTGTCTCCTCTTGTTACACAGTCATTACTCGCTTTCCCGGTGAGACTCTAGGTCTGTTGTATCCTAGTGCCAGGAACTGGGAGATGCTACATAAAGACTTGTTAGTTGGATTGAATTTTTTTTTTTTTTCCAATCACCCAAGCCTTACTTCCCTCTTGCCTTTCAAAGTGTTGTTCTGGAAGATCGTCAGCTTTCCCATCCTCTTTGCACTGCCCCTTCGAGTCCATATAGCAGTTTCTATTTAGAACCCCGCCAACCCCTGGCCTTTGGCATGGAAACACCATCGGTGGTACCAGTAAGGATCTCTTCTTTGCTGTCGACATGGGGGATTTGGGGTTCTTTCTCCTTCCCATCTTTCCTGTGCCCTTTGCAGACTTAGGCTAGCCACCCTCCACCAGGCTAGCCAGCTCTAATCTGATTTTCTTAGATTGTAGGTCTTGGTACCCCAGCGGTCTGTCCTGTCATTGGGAAGGATTTGGGGGTAGACCTGGACTTGGTGTCCCTGCCATTGCCTGGGAACCAGGGGCCCTGAGGGTCCCATGTGGTGGTTAGTCAAGTGGACTATGTGCTTAAACTTCTGAACTAGCTTGTTCTCCTGTTGGACACATCAGTCTTGTGTCCGTGATCTGATGCCGTAGCCCTAACTTTTACATGTGCTATTAGAATTCGGGAATTAAAAAAGAAAAATAGCCCACTATAGAGGAGAGAAGATGAGAGGAGGCGGCTAGATGAAGGAGGTTGAAAGTCTAACAAATGTGAAATGGCTTCAAACTCACAGAGTAACGCTTGAGAGTTTGGGATGGTCATTACTGCCACCGTGCACACCTCCAGTATTGCATAGAGTGTCGAGGATGTCGAGGCACACTGTCGGAGCAGCTTCCTCCTTGTTTTCCCTGGCTGGAGCCCAAGGCTGGGCAAGTGGGCAAAAGGGATCACAGGAAGTAAAGAGTGAAAATGCTTAAAAACTGTTAACTTGTAGGCAGTTGCCAAGCGGTGGTGTGATTTGTTGGGATGGCTCAGAGAGGAGAGAGCAGGGATAACTGACCAGCCGCGAGGAACGCGGGCTTGCACCTCTTCTTTAAGCCTCAGCGTCTTCATCCTACCACGCTTGGAGAATCTCCATCCTGAGAAAGGCCCAGGTCCCCTCCAGCAGGCCTGGGGCTGGGCGGTCGCTCCAATGTTGGGGAACTGGGGACTCTGCTTCTGTTTAAGTGGCACTGTTCTGTGCCAAGGCACAGTGCTCCGTGTTGGAGCTAATTTTAGGGGTGATGGAGTGAGGAGATAATGTTCTTAGCTGAATGTGCACTGGAACCGCCTGTTCTCCGTCTTTTCCTTCTCCCTTGAGTTCTGAGCCCCAGAGAGCGGGCTCCCTTCCCGCGCCCTGGCGCCTGCTGGAGCACCCAGGCCCAGCATGTCCTCGCCCCTTGTCTCCGGCAGGGGGCAGTCTTTCAAAAGCATTGATTCAGATGCTGGGGGACTGAGGGTAGACAGGCCTGAGAAAGAGAAGGGGTGGGGAGGGGGCGAGGCTTGAGGGAAGGGCCAGGGCGGGGGACAGGCTGGAAGGGGCCTGTGAGGAGGAGACCCTGAGCTGAGAAAGCTCAGCCGGAAAAGCTGAGGCGGGC